TCCAATCTTTCCTTTAATGCCTCTAGCACTGGAACACTTACCTCTCCGCTTAAATAATAATCTTAGAACTGTAGAGCTGGAAGGAACCATATAGATCATCGAATCCAACCCCTTTAAAGGAGGCACAGTGGGGGAACTGAACTCCCAGACTCTGGCTCCACAGCCAGATACCTAAACACATCAAATAGCCTTTCAAATGTAGTTTGCCTTCTTTGTTTTCTTTTGCCTTATTGTGGTAACTTATTCCTATTATTGTTCCTCTCCTTTTTCCAAACTTGTATTTAAGTGTTAATCTGCTCCCACAGACAACAAGGAATTACAGGTATATGCAGGGAAGAGGATGGTATTCTGTGGAGGGTAGCCCTCCTTGGTTTATCCTTCCTTTGTATTCAGCATAGAAAGCAAGCAAGCTACCAGAGGAGAAAATGCCTCTTCTCTAACCTAGTTCAGAAGGGCAATGAGCCGCAATAATAGGTTAGAAGTCTTTTTCTTCCTTCCCCACCAGCCCACAGCAGGCTGCTAATCTATTTTGCAAACCACTGGCTTCTGTAGACTTATGCATTGTGCAGCTTTAACCTGGGCCAAGGGAATTTGTTCCCCAGAAATCTTTTTCCCCTTCTCTGGCTCGCACTATACTAGGAACTGCAGGACTCTGTTAGCTGGGGAGAAAAATCCTTGAAACGAATCAGTAAACAGCAAGCATTACATCATCTGCTCAGAAAATACATTTTTGTAGCCTTGCAGAAAAGAGAAGCAATTTACTACTTTGATGTCCTGCTTGTATAGTGATGTCCTTGACTTCTAGAAGGGTGTATTTGTTCAACTCATTAATAGGTGTGTCATTGTGTTCAGCTAGTTTTAATCTAATTAGTTGCCAATATGGCCATCATTTAAGCTCTGTTGGCATGCATTGTAATGCTTATTAAATAAACACATGAGGAGAGTGTGTGTTAGCCCAGTAGTTCTTAACCTTGGTTACTCAGGTGTTTTTGAACTGCAACTCCCAGAAACCCCGGAGTGCTTATTAAATAAACACATGAGGAGGGTGTGTGTTAGCCCACCCTCTACATCTAATGGTCTGTAGAGGAGGACCTTCTGTCCTCTGTTGGGATGCTCTCTACTTCAGTAAGGAAATTGTAGGCAGGGAATTTATATATTTATTTATTTATTTATTAGATTACCTCTCCTCTGTTGGGATACTCTCTACTTCAGTAAGGAAATTAGATTTATACCCCACACCATCTGGCAACCAGGCCATTCTTATAATGATTCTTATAATGATTATCCACTGCTAGCGAGAGAAGAACAAGACAACAAAGGGTGTGCATATTAATAGCCCTTGTTGTTTCTCTATGTGAGGATCATGTATATTCTCATTCTGTACAAAGCAGGAGAGAAAAATCAAAAGGTTGCATTCATTTTCATCCTTGGTAAATAGTTTTACTTGAATCTCATCTTGGTTGGAGCAAAATTAAACTTCATAACTATTTAGGTCTTTGCCGTATTTCATCTTCAAGGGAAAATTGGGGAAGTGTCTTTTCTGTGTACTGCTGTCTGGAAAGTAGTTTGAACTAAAACTGTTTTGCTCTAATGAATAAGGGGGAAAGATATACTGTAATGACTGATTGAGTAACATTTTAATACTTCATGCACACGGCATCTTACTATTCCATTGTAGTAAGTAAAATTGTTTTTTTCCTGTCTCTGACACAAACCCTTCCTGTGTGTTAGAAGAGCTGCTTGTGTATTAAGTAATAATACACAAGCAACTTGCTTTGGTACTTACTCATTGTATTATCTCCAAAGTGTGTGTGTGTGTGTGTTGAACTAAGTCATTGAAGGCTTTTGTTATTTGGAATAGGCATGTATTCATTATCTTGGCAGGAAACATGAATAGCATGCATCTCATAAACCTGGGAGCATGTTCAGGCAACACTATAAAATGGCTGTTGCTACATTGATTAAACATTTTGCTCAGCTCAATAAACTGATAGCTATGTTAAATATTACCCAAAAAGCTGGATGTGCTCCTAAAAGCTCATATTGAAACTTAAGTATTCACCCTCTCTTTTACTTGCCACCCCTTAATTCAGCTTTACTCGATTCTGTGTGCTTTCATTTCCACATCTTCTTTCAGATGATAGTGATGCCTGGGTGTTTGGTTTGCTTCCATCAGCAGAGTCAGCACGTGCATGTGTGTGTTAATAAAGTTAAGGAAGCATTGTTAGGCAGCTGTTATCTAGCAACTTACCTGGGAATGAATCTTATCTGGAAATGAGCTTTATTAAAAATAAATCAGATTTATTTCTGAGAAGAAATATATTGGCCGGTCAGACTAGGGTAGGAATGTAAGATAGTAATGCTGCAGCTTGATGAAAAACCTAATGTTCTTCAAAATTGATAGTTTAATATGGAGGATACAAAAAAGTACAATTAGTAAGCTGGAGCAATGAAAGGATGATTTAGTGTGCCTTGTGTTTTCTGTGTACAGTCTTACTAAAGCCATAGTTTGTCAGGCAAAAACAAGAGGAAATTAAAAAATAAAGAAGACAAAAATGTTGTGGCATCTCAAAAACTAACTGCTATATTTTAATGTGAACTTTGGTGGCCAAGTCCAATTCTTTCTAGAGCTATAGTGTTTGCTCTGAACGAAAGAGTGATGTGGACACACAGTCCAGTTTCTCAGAATTGAGGCTGTGCAGATCACCACTATTATATCTCAATTTTGCCTTCTGATAATAAATATTTTGGAGCTAGTACTCAGGAGTGGCAAAGACCTGGAATGTAGGATTTCTAATCTTGTACCTTGTTGTATTTTGTCATATGGATGCTGTACGTATACTACATAATAACACCAAATACCTAATTTTTAGGTTGAGTGCTATGACTATGATAGTGATGGGTCACATGATCTCATTGGGACATTTCAAACCACAATGTCAAAACTGAAAGAAGCATCTCGACATTCACCAGTAAGTCTGTATGCCAGTTTTCATTTTATCCATCGAAACTGTTTATTTTGAATCTTCTCCAGGTGAATGAAATGTAGGTGTCTGTAGATGTGGGTCTGCAACCTGGAATTCTCAGAATTCTGCCTGGAGAATTCTTGGAGAATTTTGAAAGTTGAGAAGGGACAAAAAACCAAATGGCACATCCCTATTAGTTAATACAGTATCATGGTGTAACCTGGCCTCTTGTGATAAGGAGACGTGCAACAAAATTCTGTTGAGGATCTCAGAGTCTGGGTACATGCTTATGAGAGAAGGTGATCCTTCATAGCCTGTTCTAATTTTTTTTCTGAGCTTTCATATTGAAAACCACCACTTCAAATTGAGCTTAGAAGTGAATGGAAAGCCAGTACATTTAGACCAGTCTGGTGTTATATTGTCTCTAAAGTGCACATCAGTTTACAGTCTGGTTGCCCCATTTTGTACCAGGTATAGTGTTTCAAAGGCAGCCCGACATAGAGTGTGTTATAGTAGTTTAATTGGAAGAAAATTAAGGCATGGATCACCATAGTGAAATTTATCTTCTCTAGCTAGGTAGGCGGGATGTGGTGGTGCTGTGGGCCAAACTGCAGAAGCCTGTGCTGCAGGGTCAGAAGACCAGCAGTTGTAAGTTCGAATCCACGCAACGGAATGAGCACCCGTCGCCTGTCCCAGCTCCCGCCAACCTAGCGGTTCGAAAGCATGCAAATGCGAGTAGATAAATAGGGACCACCTCGGTGGGAAGGTAAACAGCGTTCCGTGTCTAAATCACACTGGCCATGTGACCACGGAAAGATTGTCTTCGGACAAACGCTGGCTCTATGGCTTGAAGAGCGGGATGAGCGCCGCCCCCTAGAGTCGGACACGACTGGACAAAAATTGTCAAGGGGAACCTTTACTTTTACCTTAGCTAGGTAGGCAGTGGTATTCCTGGCTACAGCAGATGCCTGCCATTCTAAAAGCAATACAGTCATGCCCCGCTTAACAATTACCCCGTATAATGACGAATCCGCTTCACGACGATGTTTTTGCGATCGCAGAACAATGTTTCAAATGGTTTTTTTTTTACCTTGCGAAGATCGGTTCCCTGCTTTGGGAACCGCTTCTTCGCATTACAAGAATCTTTCAAAATGGCCACCAGGTGCTTAAAATGGTTCCCCGCTGTGTTTTTGGATGGATTCTTCGCTCTACAGGCACCGAAAATGGCCGCCCCATGGAGGTGAGTTTTTCAGCCCTTTGGAACGCATTGAACGGTTTTCAATGCGTTTCAATTGGCTTTTTTATTTCGCTTTACGATGTTTTCACTCTACAGCTATTTTGCTGGAATGATTTAACATCGTTAAGTGGGGCACCATTATACTGGATTCAAGAGAACCTTCAAACTGCAAATCTTGTTATGCACAGAGTACAACCCCATCCAGAATAGGATGTGGTCCCAATCTGAGATTGGGCTATTTGTTGACCAAACTTTTGTTTTTTTGTTTACCAACCAAGTTTGTTTGTTGGTAGACAAACTAAGGGTAGAGCCTCAGTTTGTTTACCAGCCCGACAATCCCTCAAGACATCCAGACACCAGATGACAATTAGTATAGCCTCCTTGGCATCATTAGAGAAAGCTCCACATGGTCTTCCCAGTCGCTTCATCTAAATGTTAAAAAATACATATTTCGCTGGAATGATTTAACATCGTTAAGCGAGGCACCATTATACTGGATTCAAGAGAACCCTCAAACTGCAAATCTCGTTATGCACAGAGTACAACCCCATCCAGAATAGGAGGTGGTCCCAATCTGAGATTGGGCTATTTGTTGACCAAACTTTTGTTTTTTTGTTTACCAACCAAGTTTGTTTGTTGGTAGACAAACTAAGGGTAGAGCCTCAGTTTGTTTACCAGCACGACAATCCCTCAAGACATCCAGACACCAGATGACAATTAGTATAGCCTCCTTGGCATCATTAGAGAAAGCTCCACATGGTCTTCCCAGTTGCTTCATCTAAATGTTAAAAAACATGGGGGACAGTATTGAGCCCTGAAGGATGTGTAAGATAATAGCCAGGAGGATTAATTGAAATCTCCCAGCACTATATCTGAGACTAACCACAGTTTATCTGGAGTTGGGTATATGAGCTAATCATGGTTAATTGAAAACAAAAGTAGACACTCCCTTTCTCCTTTTTGAAGCCATTCTGGTTTGCCGGGGGGAATGACTCATGAGTCCAAGATTCATTCCTGTATTGGAGCTGAAGGTATGCAGTATAGCAATAACAAAAATGAGCCCAAATGTCTCACTGAATGAAAAAAAAGAATTATGTTAAATCTAATAGTGCAGGTCTGACCACCCTTCTCTTTAAGGATCGGCATACTACAAATAGTTACATATCAATCTATTACTATTATTTGTACTATCAATGAGCAAAAAAGATTTTGTGGATTTGGTTCCCCTGTCCTGCTCTCAGCTCAAACAAGAAGTCTTCCCTTGCAGATGTGCCTTGCTCACTGAAAACTTAGCCAAATAGCAGTGATGCCTTTTGTGAGCTATGAGACATAGTTCAGAGATCCACGAAGCTCATGTTCCTAAATTTTATATCTTCAGTGGTCCTAGTGGACTGAAGGCAGATATAATAAAAAGGAACATACAAGAGGGCTTTGGGCTACTTCCTGTTCAGCAACATTCTAACCAAAGCCTTCATGCTTGCAATCAAAGCCTAAATGGAGGCCCTTTTAAGACCACTGTTATGTTTTGTTTCCATAGGTTGAATTTGAATGCATCAATGAAAAGAAGAGGCAGAAGAAGAAAAGCTACAAAAATTCAGGCATTGTCAGCTTTAAACACTGTGAGGTCAGCCTTTTTTACTGTTTTGTTCTTATTCAGGTGTTTTATCTACAGTAGACACAACCAAAGTTGACCGCTTCTCACATCAGGAGGTAAGAGCCTTCTATGTGTGAGTAGTATAGGTAATAGTCTGGAAATACTGTGGCTTCTTTGTAGTGGGTGCGCTTTGCTCATTGGGTCCTCAAAACAGTGAACATACATAACAGGCCAAAGGTTGGTCAGAACAAGAGGAGAATCTTACACATTAATAATGAGAAATGGAACAAATATATGTTGTATCATCATAGTCTAATCTCTTTCTACTGAATGTAGAAACCCTGTTTTCAACCTGTGCATGTGCGTGTGTCCTGTCCAGTACTTGGATGTTGCTTGTGCAAACCATTCCTCAATTCATAATGACTTATTGAAACTATGGGTTGTTTATGCTGTTTACCCTGATTGTTCTGCTAGTGAAGTGTCTTCTCCAGTACTTGAATGGTGCAAACCATTCATCAATTCATAATGATTTATTGAAACTATGGGTTTTTAATGCTGTTTACCCTGATTGTTCTGCTAGTGGTTGTACTGCTTGAAGAATACCATATCCTGTACTTCTCCCAAGAGCATAATGTTGGATGCAATCCTATCTAATTATGTACTCAAATATATCACAATTGGATTGCATCTTACATTTTTAGGTATTACATGGAATTAAGTAACTTTTATAG